CAGTGATGTAGAGCACTAAGGGTGGTTAAATGACTGGTGAATGCTACATCCAGAAGATGTAACAAATTAAATTAATTAATAACAATGGTGTGTCTGTAGTGGCAGTTGCTAGAAAGTAAATACAAGCTTGCAGTACCACAGTGGTGCTGTCTTTGAGACTGTAGCATCTAGTAACACTAGTGGATAAAAACCTGCATATTTATAGTGGTATCTGTAACTTGAATCTTAGAGTGATTACGAAGACAAAATCATATTCTTGGGTTTGTTTTTGGGTTTTTTGTAATGTAGAAAACCCCACTTGGATTCTAAAACTGTTACATTTTAAATTTATTTTAAATTTATTAAAAGACATTTATTTATAATCTATTATCCCTTGGTTTTGCTTTGGACTTCTTGGCTGTGTTCACCTACCTGTTATCCAATATGCACACTGAGGAAAGATGCCGTGCAACCCATGAATTTTTCTGTAAGGTAACTTCAGGATAGGAGGCAGGTGGATACAGACAGAGAAGGGAGTACAGGAAAGCAGAGATGATAATGAGCAGCACAGTAAGCTGTGGTTTCAGCAGGTCACCTGTAGCATCAGATGGTCCCAACATATGCATCTTTGCATGTTTCCAGAGAGACATTTCCAAAGCACTAGTGAGGAATGTCATAGAATATGCAGAGAATAAATTGCCACTGAATGCAGCCAGGGACAGTGCAGCAGTCTGGCCTTGCTTTCCTCCCGGCCTGAAGTCACACCGAATTAACAATAGAACAGCCTAGATGTTTTGCTCAGACTCTTCATCATGTCTGGCTCTTCTAGCAGTTCTTCCCTTCAGTCCTCAACACAGAACCTATATTGTCCCATGTCTCCAGGGCAAAGGGCTCCTGAGTTGCCTGTCTTTGGTGAGCTACCTGCCCTGGGGAGCCACGGGCACTGCTGAGCAACATAACCAACTGGATCCAAATTGACTGGTGAGACAGGAACAGGGGAGAGGGTTGAGGGAGAATTAGGTCTCCTGAGTAAATTACTGCCACCCCATGATAGCACAAGAAAATGCTGTACGGTTAACGGAGTGTGACCAGTTCATTGAATACCAGTTAATGGAATTAGAACCAAAAGCAGGGAGATTTTTATAGCTGCTGTTTTCTTGGGAGCCAGATGCCTGACAAGGCAGAGCACTGAAAAGAGCTTGTTATAGAAAGCAAGAGCAGCTAAATGCTTTTGTCATCTGCTGGCTTCCTCTCAGCTGCAGTGGTGGAAAGCACCATCAGTGTAGAGGAGCAGAGGCAGCTGCTTTGCACTTTACACCAGTATTGGTGGCTTTGTGGTTGCAAGACAGTGACAAGGTAGGCCATGGACTTGGGCTAAATCATTCAGGCTGGTTTGCAGAGTTGCATCAAGCAGGCAAGACTAATTTTACATTTAGGAGATTCCAGAGTTGCTAAATACCTGCCAGGAGTATTGTCATCTTCTCTCCTCATAGAACAATTGAAAGTACTGCTTGTTCCTTTTGGGACAAGAGGTAGGAGAAGCTGCTTCTCATGGTGCTAATTCATATAAGACTCCAGATTTGACGACATTACTCTATACCTTCACAGTAACCAATAGGACTGAACAAATCCAGCAGGATCATTCCCACATCACCTCCATAAGTGCTTTACCTTAAATCAAGTGTCTAGCTGACGTACATATCCTCTTTGATTACCTTAAGGTTGCTAATAAGATCAGTTGTTGCTTACAGAGTGGCGTATTCATCATGGATTATCTGTCCTGCATATCTTCTGTGTTATCATATGCCACAACAGGCAACTGCAAAAGCCACTCAGTCACGGGCAGTTTGTACCTCTCTCCTCTAAAGTTTGCTAAGATAGTTTGGCAGCAAGCAGGATGGTGGGCCAGGAAGCTACTCCTTCTACTTGCAAGGAGGGGCAGGTCCTTTGCACGAAGCCAGCATCCAGATACCATGTCAGGGCACTTCTGTCTTGGTGTAACCTGCCTGCACTAGACGACATTACCCTCAAGTACGTTAACGTTCACCTCGGACCCCTCAGCAGTCCCCTGCATTTTGGGACATGCAGTGACCCCCTTGTACAAGCTGCCCTTCCAGTCCCAGCTGCTGGTTTTGTTTGGCTGATGGCAGTTCCCTGCAGTTTGGCAAATAGCTTATGGTGGCTAGTGAATGGAAAATGCTTTGGCCTTTTCATGATTCATACTTCAACTTTTTGCACTGCATTTGACTTAGATAATGAGGCTCATCTGGGTAATTGCTAGACTAGGAAGTAATTTAGAGTTTAATTCAAAAATTTGCGTTTTAAAAATCACATGCAAGGTCCAGAAATCCATCCCAAGGCAGAGAGACAGAACTAGACAATAGAGGGATGTGAGCATCCAGGAGGACAGCTCAGGGAAGCAATGCCAGCTAAGGAGTGGGTTCTCCCCAGAACAGGGGTGGAATGATTTCACCTGACTTTGGTGTCTGCAGTGTTCATGTTTATAGTACTGCAGGGTAGACCATTGCAGTTCATGGAGAGAAATGCATGCTTTATGGTACAGTTAATCTCATCTTGTGACCTGAACGTTTAAAACAAGTCTGATGGAAATCATGATCTAGATTTTTTTTCTTCCTCCATTAACTAACAACTACTTGCCATTGTCTAGATGGCAAGCTCCAATATCAATCTGAAGTCAGGAGAGATAAGTGTCACTCCGGTGTTGGGCTTGTTGGGAATTGCAATAAGTGAGAATTTCAAGGAAAGATTTGAGAGCACTGTGGTATTTTAACCTAGGGATGGATGATGAACGAGTGGAGAGCTTATGGGTGAAAATTAAGGGGTGCCCATTGTTGTGGGTGTTTACTATAGGCCACCTGATCAGGATGAAGAGGTGGATGAGGCCTTCTACAGGCAGCTGAGAGTAGCCTCAAGATCACAGGCCCTGGTTCTCATGGGGGACTTCAATCACCCTGATATTTGTTGGAAAAGCAACACGGCCAGGCACACGCAGTCCAAGAGGTTCCTGCAGGATAACTTCCTGATGCAGGTGGTGGAAGAGCTGATGAGGAGAGGTGTGCTTCTGGACCTTGTTCTTACTAACAAGGAAGGGCTGGTTGGGGATGTGAAGGTTGGGGGCAGCCTGGGTTGCTGTGACCATGAGATGATGGAGTTCAGGATCTCATGTGGAAGATGCAAGCCAATAAGTAGGGTTGCAACCCTGGACTTTAGAAGAGCCAACTTTGACCTCTTCAAGGACATACTTGGGGGTATCCCATGGACTAGAAGGTGTTGGAAGGTGTTGGAAGGTAAGGGGGCCCAGGAAAGTTGGTTAATGTTCAAGCACCACTTCCTCCAAGCCCAAGATCGGTGCATCCCTAGGAGGAAGAAATCAGGCAGGAGTGGCAGGAAACCTGCATGGATGAACAAGGAGCTCATGGAAAAACTCAAAGGGAAGAGGAAGGTCCATGAAATGTGGAAAAAGGGTCTAGCCACCTGGGAATGAACAAGGAGCTCATCGAAAAACTCAAAGGGAAGAGGAAGGTCCATGAAATGTGGAAAAACGGTCTAGCCACCTGGGAGTTATGTTACTTCCAAGTGGCTAGACCTCCCAGGTGGAATGTAATCAGAGCCTGCAAGGGTGCAACTAGGAAGGCAAAGGCCCATTTGGAACTAAATCTGGCAAATGGGGTTAAAGACAACAAAAAAGGCTTTTTTAGGTACATCAATAACAAAAGGAGGATGGGAAAATGTGGGCCTGCTGGTGAGTGAGGCGGGTGTCTGGTAACAGGAGACGGTGAGAAGCCAGATCATGTCTATTTATAGACATTGAGAGGGGATCTTATCAATGTCTATAAATATCTGAAATGTGGGGGCCAAATGGATGGGGCCGGGCTCTTTTCAGTAGTACCCAGTGACAGGACAAGAGGCAATGGGCAAAAACTGGAACACCGGAAGTTCCATTCGAACCTAAAGAAAAACTTCTTTGCTGTGAGGGTGTCAGAGCACTGGGACAGGCTGCCCAGAGAGGGGGTGGAGTCTCCC